AGATTTTAATTTATTAAAAGCTTTGGATTTCGTATTTACCTACGGTAAATGCTTGGCAAATGCACAACTCTCTGCTTTTGATATTATTCTAACTGTAGTTAAGTCCGCTCACAGATTTCAGCTAGGATCTACCTTATTGCGCAGCGCATCCTTGGCAAACTAATTTCCATATTTCCCTCTTTCTTTCTTTCTGTTGGTCTTGAGAGCCGCCTCCGCCCATAAATTGTCTATAGCTGTCATACTTTTAGGCATTTAATAAATTTTATGACTCTGAATGCTTCTTCTTGTTGCTCTACGCTTTTATTTTTTCACTGCCTCACGTTTTTCCTTCGTTTTTAATAACATTCGTTTCTTGTCCTCGACGCTGTCCGCCTGGGGCTATGCTCTTCTTTTTTCTGTTTTTTTTTTTTTTGTTTTTACCTCCCCTCTCCACAGCGAATTGCAAATGTGGGTATTTATGCGCTCGCTGCGCTACAAGTTTGTCCTGTTGTCGCCCCCGCATGTTTCCCTTGCTCCATCTCCCCTCCCCTAACACGACTCATTTTGGCGCTCGCCCTCCCGGGAGCATGCAACAATCTTTTATATGAGTTTATTATGTATGCTTTTCCTTTTGCTTAAAACAAACAATTTCCTCAAGCGATTTCCGTTTGCACTGATGAGTCTTATTAAATTCGAGCAGCCCCCATATCACCCTCCTGGGGGTGCCCCGGCCGCCCCCACAAAAATTGTCTGCCCGGATTTGGTCGTTAACTAACTAAAATACGGCGCCTGCTTGCAAATTGCGCTTTAATTGAATTGCACATAGATTTTGTTTTAGACGCTACGCTCTTCCGCTTGCAGACAAATTTTCACATCAAAAAAAAAGCAAATAGAATAGAAGGAAACCCCATAAAGTTTTGCTGCATGCCACAATTTGATGCCTCTCTCGCTCCAAAAACTCGCGGCATAACTCAAAAGTCTTTAGAAGTGTTTGAAACTGTCATACGCACGTAGTTTTTCTCGCACTCAATCTGTCCACTTCTCGCTCTGCCCCTCTCTTCCTCTCAGTCTCACTTTCTATTGCTCAATCTCTTACCATTTCGGCGACTACAACAACAGACTTTGCCACTTTATTATACACTATAGCTTTAAGAGGGAGTACACTAACTTTCTCATCAGATTTGTTCGGCTTTAGCTGACCACGATAAGTGAAGTTATTCAGGCAACTGCAGAATGAAGCTCGGGTTCGAACCCTGGGCTAAGAGATACGTATTTCTTTTATTTAAAACTGGAACTTAAAACCTGAAAGATTATAGTACTAATACTATTATATCGATATATACTATTAAATAAATATTGCACTTGATTCGCACTCCTCCATGATCTAGTTATTCGTTATTCCTAGAGCAGTAAGGTTCCGAGTTCGAACCTCAGGCTTAGTTTATATTGTAGGCAGCCAAAAAAATAAATGTTCAAAAAATATGAATTGAAAAGTAGGATAATAAAGTATGTATATAACTTTTTCAGAATGTGAAAGTTGGATGAAAGAAACAATTCCGCACTTATTATTGCCATAATCCCGTTTCTTTTCGTGATCAGGGTATTCAGGTATTTTGAATAGCTCTTGTAACGCTCAGTTTCTGCGTCTTGTTTGACTACCATTTCGTAGCGGCATTGAGTGCTGAAAGTAAGCTGAATAAAGAAAGAAATAACAGAAATGAGAGTAAAGAACTAACGCGTTTTGGCCAGCATCGAATCAAAAGCATTTCTAACCAACTTTGTGGCAAAGTTTGCGCAGGCAGCGCAACGACTGAGATTGAGTGCAAATAAAATGATGTCATGAAGTGGCAGCAGCGGCGAACAGGGGAGCTCTAGCTGAACTCCTTATTGTTGTTGGCCCAATGGAAGGAAAGGGGCGATGGGTGGAGGCGGGGCGGGCATTGCAATGCATGCTCCACTTTATTTCAGCTATCAACTCGTAAAGTTTGCGGCTTGATGGCCGGCTGCAAAAAGGGGGCGGGCGGAGTTACTTAGTGTAGAAAGAGTGTAGTGCCAGAAGGGGCGGGCAGTTTGGATGGGTGTGGGCGTGGTCTGTGATTTTTCTGCACGAACTCACAGAAACCGCAGCCGAGATGCGGCTTTCAAAACTTGAAGCACAGCAATTACAACAACAACAACAACAAGAACTGGACAAATCTTGACAAGTATTTTGTCAACTTTGCCAGCGGCTGCTTAAGTGCTGCAGGTAGGGACGTTGCCCATTGGCGGGGGGACGTGGGGCAGTGTGTTTAAAGTGTCGCTTATTTCTTTTGGCATAGAAACTGAGAGTTGACCAGAGTGCAGCAACAGCAGCTGCTCGCAATCGGACACAACTTCTAATTAGCTTGATAAACAAATTCTTTGCCTACTTACCGGTAGCTGCAGTGCCTTTTTCCCCTCACTCCACCGCGCAGTCCAGCGCCTGGCGCTTTGCAATTCAATTAAAAATTAACATTTTATTTGCAAATAACTTTTATACTTTATGGCACAGTTTGTCGAACCAAAAAACAGCTGTACGAGGGTTGCCTTTTGTATTGTGAGGCTTGGTGAAAACAATTATTCTGGGTGTTTACAATCTTAAACCAAGAAAAAAAAACAATTACCTATCTTCCATCTTCTCGGGAGCTGGAACCTCTAACTTCGAGCTCGACTATTTATGGTAAATATTTAAACGCATCCGGCCATACTTTTGTGTTATCGAGATTTACAATATTCGAACGGTCACACTCATTCATTCACAATATTTAAGTGCGACTGATTACACTCCTGTGATGCCAAAATTAACAATGTAAAGGCGCACCTGGTCACACTTTTCTGTTGCCAAAATTCACAATATTTAGACACAAGACTTAAACGCATCTGGTCAGACTTTTGTGTGACCAAATTTTACAATATAAAAGGCAATTCCAGAAAGTCAAAATTTTACAATTGGACCAAATGAACCTACCTGTGCAGTCCATGCCCCTCGCTATTTTCATGCCCATTTCCTGCTACTTTCAGCCGTTTTTCAGGCCATTTAATTTGATCATGCGCCAACAATTATGCAACTTGTTGGCTCAATGCGTCTACAGCTGAGCGGGCCAACAGATTGTTGTTGTTGTTGTTGCTGTTGTTGGGCTTGTTGTAGTTGTTCCCTCTGGCCGCCTTTTCCATGCTTTATTGTTGTTGTTGGCAATAAAACTTTTTCCATTTGCTTGGCATCAAAATGCCGTTTGTTGCTTCATTGTTGTTGCATAGTTTTGTGAATGGTCGGTCAAGGCGAGGGCTAGTGAGAGAGAGGGAGAGAGAGAGAGCGTGGAGCAGAGTGTGTTGCATGCCCCAAGGTGTTGCGGCGTGTGTGAAAATTATATGCCAGCTTGTTGTAGAATTGGTCATTAAGACATTTGAAAATATTTGAGATTCCAATGAATAAAACTAATCTGAGCTTAGCATAGGTAATATAATACATAAAACGTTAAGCAAGAACTGTAATTGGGATTGATTTTGTGTACATACAGCTTAAAGCTGGCCACCTGGGACACACCTGCTACATTTAGTTTTATCTACTTTATCTTGTATATTTGTCAGTCCATTGATTTTCCGCAATTTTCTTGCTGCATTTTCTTCAATCGTTGCTGTTTCATTTCCTTGTGAGCGTCATCAAATATGCAACTTTTGACACGCCTTTGAATTGTTATTCCTTTGCCAAACCACCCTCCCCATACATTATTATTGTCTTCAATTTCTACAGATTTAGTTTTTCTTATCGACTGCTGTTGCATTTAAGTGCGTTTTCATGTATATTCTGGCTTGTGGCATTTCTGTGCGCATTGAGTTACAGTTTAATTTATGGCCATGTTATTTTCCATAAAATAAAATGCACGCAACTATAATAGTTGAGAAAATCAGCTAAATTTGTGGCTAAAATTTCAAGTGCTGCACAATAGTATTTGATTGTATTTATTTTGGTTTATGTGTATTTATTTGACAATGATTTTTCATTTGTGATTATTTGTGCATTTACTTTTTATTTATTCTTATTTGTATTTGATTTTCTTAAATATTTATTGCTGGCAAATATTAATTGACTTTGCCTGGAAAAAGTATTTTTCATTTAATTAGAAAATGTACATACCAAAAATGTTGCAACCTTCGAGAAAGAAATTTTACAAAACTCAGCCCGACAGTTTTCTAGCTTTAACGAGTTTTTGTTAGGCAAAGCACACTTTAAAGAATACTTAGCTAGTATATCATTGAAAACAGTCCAATAGAATTTAAGAATATGTTTAGTAACATATTTTGCTTTTCTATAAAAGAAAACTTCACACTTCAGACAGCGCTTTGGGGTTAAAATTCTCAACTTGTAAAGCCCCAGCTAAGACATCCCTTTTCTGCTCTGCCCACTTCCTTGGTCAGTTGCTTTCGCTGTTAATTGCTTTTGTAGACAAATTATAAAGCGCTCGAGTGGCTGTGGCTGTGGCCGCTGCCATTTCTGTGCATCACTCAAAAACAGACAAAACCACACTCCAGTCCATGACCATGACTTTGCTCCAGGGCTGCCCAACAACAACAACAACACAACACAAACCAGAAACGGTACCAAAAAAAAAAAATATTACAAAACAAATAGAAAACTCTTGTTGGCCGGGACCAGTCGTCAGTTTTAATTTAACTTTGACATGCATCAGCTCAAAAATCCAATTACAAAACAAATGTACAAAGCGTGCGCCCTTTATTTTTTTTTTGCCCTGCGCCCAGAGCGAAAGCTGCCAGCTAAATCCCATTAACGCCTGTGTAGATATTTTTTGGCCAGCAAAAACTGACCCAGCGAGTTGAAGATTTATGAAACCATTAATTTTATGAAAAGCGAAAAAAGTATAATTAAAAAAAGTGCAAAAACCAAAAACAAAAAAGTGAACAATGTGCGCTTAGGGCGTGCTGCAACGCCAATCCACTGCCCCTGGCAATGAGCTGCCTTCCATATGAGTGGCCAAGGATAAGCAGCCGGACAAGACAAGATGTCCAGCAGCCGCGGCAAGTTGCCGCCACGTTCCGATCGCAATGCCAACGAGGAGGAGCAGCTGCAGCAGCTACAGCTGGGCGCCAGGCCCAAGGCCCATAAAATGCTGCACTCAAAGACTGACAACCCGTCACCGGGACATGCCAACTACATGGAGCTGGAATTTAGCCAAGTGCCGGCAGTCGGTCGCAGCTGCAGCGAGCTGCCTGTTAGCTATGCCACCAGCACAGTTGTGGTGCCAGTGCAGGCCTATCGGGAGCCGGCTCCGCCCACGCCGCCCCCGCTCTCGCAGATACCGTCGCGTGAATCGCGCTTGTTGCACTCGGCGCCAAATACGCCCAGTCGCGGTAAAGTGGTGCTCAGCAAAAAGGAGCGCAAGGAGCTGAGCAAGCAGCTGGGCCTGGAGGAGCTGGGCGTTAGCACCTCAGCGCAATCCAGCCCCTACAAGGGGCGTGTCACGGAGCTTAAGAACTGCATAGCGCGTGGCCTTTTCGCAACGTTGCATCGTGGCTCGCAGAAGTCGCTGCAGCCAGCGGCGGGGGCGGCGGCAGTAGAGCGGGGCAGCCAGGACATGCAGCTGAGTCAAGAGTTGTCACCGCCGCCGCCAGCGCCAGAGCTGGCCAACAACAATGAAGACGATGCCGCCGACTACACAGAGAAGCTAAAGAACTTGCCCGTGCGGCGACGTAAGGCAGCCACCTCGCACATGGACAACTATTGTCTCTTCGATCCGGTGGACTTTATCAACGAGAAGGCGCTGCGGTATCCCGGCAATGCGAAACATGGTTTGCGTGATCCTTTGTTCAGCTCCAGGCAGCATCTGGTGTGCGAGGATGAGGAGGAATTGGTGCCGGAGGTCATCTACGATGGCGAGGAGCTCGAGGAGACCATCATTATTGAGACCTCCGGCGAAGCGGATGCCGAAACTGAGGGCAGCGCTTGTGCTTTGCCCAGTTTTGAGCATCACAATTATTTTGTCATCGATCCGGAGGACTTTGAAATGGAGCCGGCCATTCTAGACATAGGCATACCTAATCCCTACAGCAACGAACAGCAGGTGCATGCCAAGCTGGAGCAACAGCTGCTGAATGAGTTCGAAACAGCGCCCAGCATGTCGAATAGTCAGGAGTCGAAGGACACAGAAACCACCTCCACTGCTCTTGTGGAATCCTCCACCTCCACCAATTCGGCCAGCTCGAGCGGCAGCTCAAATGCACAGCAACACCAACAACAGCAACAACAGCAGCAGCAGCAGCAGCAGTCCATGAAAAAGAAGCTTACCTTTCTAAATCTCTCGCCCTTTCGTCCGAGCGCCAAGAAAAGCAATCAGAAAACCTTTATGGAACAGCGCGCCATCTCGGAGCTGGTCACCTCCGATCACATGCTGCATCTGCAGCAGCTATTGCAGCAACAGCGCAAGGATCAGCGCGCCCACACGGTGCCCATCGAGTCCAACTATGTGCTGTTCAATCCGGGACCCGTGCCCAGCCGCCATGTGCAGTACAAGATACGTAAGCCCCGTCCGCTCTCCACTCACAGCGATGCGGACAGTGGATTCCTCTCGCCTTGCTCACCGGATGAACTGAAGGTCAATCCAAGCATTTTGGTGCTGCAGCAATGCGACAGTGTTCAGGGTTATATTGAGGTGAGCTTGGAAAATTATGCGTAATACCTATACTTATTTATGAATTTTACTTAAAATTGGAAATGCTAACTAACTAGAATTTCATATACAATGGTCTTTAATTTAAAATATCGAACTGTGCTTTAAATTAAAATCTTAATATATGTCTATCTCGACGACAGCTACCTATATACTAAATTTAAGCTTGATAGCTTCTGAAAATTCAGAGTTACGAGAGTCCAGTTTAATTTATTTTGAGTATGAACTCAGCTGAACTTTTACTTAAACTAATGAAATAATTTTGTATGGCTTAAGGTACTTCATGCTTATTATTATGGATATTTCTGTGATAATATACAATCGCGTTTATTACTTCAGAACGGGGTTCCAGGCACATTTATTTCGATTAGATATTCAAAGTACAGCTTATCTAAAATTTCTGACAAAAAATATACAAGATTTGTAACATGCCCGAGGGTCTAGCCCTCAGCCAATACATTTGCACACCCCATATACACATATCTTAAGCTGGTAATCATTGTGGCATGTTCCAGTTCGCACTTGTCGCCATTTGCCGGCTCACTTATCTTAACGAGCGGGCAACTTAACAAGTCTTATTATGCAGCTGCCGCCAACCCCGGGCACTTTGCCCGGCCTTCTTATGGAGTCGAATCCTGTAAGTGGAAATTATCAAACATCCATGAAACTGCAGTTCAGGCTGAGCAGCAATGCAGCAGCTTTATCGTGGGGCGGTTGTTGGGCCAGCATTAACGGGGGTTGAGTTTGGCTTTTGGCCCTGGTGATTGCATCAATTTTAGTGTTTTCTTTGCGTCAAGTAGCTGCTGCTGCTGCCGCTGCTGCTGTCGCTGCCATCGGCGCCTCCGGGGAGCAATCAATCCTCGCGTTGCCACTGTGCGCTTCATTAGTTTTTCGCTGGCGAAACAGAGAGAGAGCGAGGGAGAGAGCGCGATAGAGGGAGAGAGTAACTGGGAGACAGGAGGAATAAATAGCGATAACAACAATAATAACAAGCGAAATACTTTTTGCACAGCTGTGCACAGCATCTTTGCGACTTTTAATGGAATTGAATTAAAAACTGTTGCCATGGCGTCGAACTCCGCTCTCGACGTGCCACATGCTGCAGCCCCTGTACCCGAAACCGCTTGCTTCAGGCATTTTGAGTCATTTGTAAATTAAAATACGCTCTGCGAACAGCAGCCGAGAAAAACAACAAGTTCAGGTCTCGCCAGGCCTTTGGATCATTGCATGCCCCGCGGACGCAGTGGCATTCACTGAAGTCTACTTATGGCCAAGAGAAGTGTCAAGTGCAGTGCTTTTCATATTTGTAATGCAGGTAGTGAAACAACTGTGAGAAAGAGGGTTGCTCAATGGTCAAAGTAAATGGGCTGTAAAGCGTTGTTGCCGCGGGGGTAGCTCGAGGTGAATGGGGCTTGAAGAGAGAGAGAGAGAGAGAGACAGACAGAGAGCGAGAAGAAAGAAAAAAGAGAGTTACTGTCGCTGAAAAGAGGAAACCTCAATTAGAGACTACAAAATTGTATAAAAGTTAAGCAAAGCGAAATGCATTGGAAATAGGGCAAATATAAGGCATTAGCACAAGATTATAATTCTCAAATAGTTTAAGTAGCTGAGAGCTTAAAGGCAAAAGAAGAAAAAAAAGAGGCAACGATATTTCATTACAATTTTAAGAGATATTAATTCATATTTGCATATAATTGCAATTAGATAAACTATCTAATATATAATATATTTAAATAAAGTAATATTTCATACGCGTTGTAATTCTCAAACAGTTAAATCATTCAGCTGTTTAATAGGCGTTAAAGAAATTAGACTCCGTTGAAGAACATTTTCTTAATCTCACCCAAATGTATAATTAAGATAAACCAATTACCTCGATGAGCAGAAAGATACTTAAGCGACCTAGTTTATAGGCCTAGACAAATGTTCTTACAAAGTATTTTCTAACTATTGCCAAATTTACAGCCTAAGAGAATTATTTAATTGAGATCCATAAAGTACCTCCATGAAGAGAAAGATATAAAAGAAACTGAAGCTAAAAGTCTAGGTGCTTTTCCTCTTATTCTATCTGTCTCTGCACAACTCCTCTTTAAATTTCTGGCTTTTCGTACTTCCATTATAGACCCACTTTATAGTCACTCTATTTGCCTACTGCCAGAGCCACCCACACTCATTAATTCTAACCAAACAAAACTCAAGCAATTTATGCAAAGCGACACATGACTCGCTTCCACTTGCCCATAAATTTGACTGCCGCATTTCCCTTCCCTCTGTGTTTGTGGGCCTAACCCAATGTCCTGTGGCCAGCACCCAGCAGCGCACGTTGGTAATCCCAGCTCTATATAGAGTATACCATATTCCAAGTGCGTCTGCCTTCCAGCCAAAGAACTCAATTGCAAATTGCAACTGCCACTGAGGCATGCAATTTTCTCGTACAACGCCGGACGACATACTGTTAGCTCCGTCGAAAACCGCCCCGCCCCACCCCCGCGTGAACGCAGTTCCAACAAAAACTCTTCGCGAGGCGCTAAGCTGTCAAATGTCGGACGTAGTCGTTGTCCGGGCTGCCACCACAGCGGCTGCTGTTTCAGCTGCTCTTTCGAATTGGGGTTGCCATGCACCCAGCATTGTTTATGCGTTCGAAATATTTTCTATGCCCAAAACTGGGTAGGGTAGTGTGTGCGCGGGGGCGGGGCGGGGGTAGGCATGTGGCACAAGTCGCGTGTCGTGGGCTACTTTATGTGCGGCTGACGAAACCCTTATCACCCCTGCATGTCGCATGTATATGTATGTATTTCTCATGCCGCCGTCCACTGATTAGTCCAATAAGTTGTAAAAAGTGTCGACCCACTGCGCGAGGCGATTATCTACTCTGGCTTTTATTTCGATAACTTTTTGATTTATGGCTGTGCAATAAATGTTCGATGTGCACTTTATAATTATGTGGCGCCGGATGTTGCACGAAAGGATATAAAATGCCCATTGCCAATGCCATATGTGCGCAAAATTGTTCATAATTATGCTGGATAAATTGCAAAAAAAATTAAAATAAAACGAAAAACGAATGTGAACGTGTGGCGTAGTAAGTATGTGACTACGAGATACGCTGCACGGGTACTTGACTATTGCAATTCATTTGGAGCTAATAAATATTTATGCTTACAATTCTTACGGAGGCTTAACGTAAGAAAAATATATATTTTTGTTATGTTGTTAGAAAAAATATACAAATTAGATTTAATGTTTGCTCTTATTTCAATACAATACCAATTTTTTAGCCTTTTATGCTATTGTGTCTTTTTTTTTAATTTTTAATATATTTAATATAAGGCATCTAGGAGTCCTATGAATTGATTATAAGAGTGCAAGGTGGAAGTATTTATAAATAAGAATACCCTGCACAATACGAGTTCCTAGCTAAAGATATTCTAACTTCTGGCTTTAACTTCAATATAGGAACTTAAAAATTTTAGATGTACTTCAAAAACTTAAGAAAATTTTTGGATAAAAAAACGTTAAGAAGTTATAAATCTAAAGTCAAATTTGTAATATGTAGTTCATAATCTTCCTTATTATCCCTTCACCATTTCTCAGTCAATTCTTTAGGGGTAAAAATAATAAACAAATTTCTTTAATCTATTGTGTGTTACAAACATTTCTTCTCAGTTAATGGACTTTACAGTAGTGCACAAAAGTTCATTACAAATTGTAATTTTGCAGTTAAAAATATGCAACAGTTAATTCTCTTCGTTTTACTGCTTTTTTGTTTCACTGCGTGTACCTATTTAAAATGAATTGTCATTTGGCATTAAAAAAATAACTCTTTTTGTATTGCAAATATGCATCTGAGCCGATAAAGAACTGCAACTGCAGCTGTCAATATCAAACGAGGGCTGGGGGCTATATATCCCGCGGGGCATTAAAGTTGGCGTTGAATTAAGCTGCAATTTATTTGCAACAACATTTGCAATGGATTTTCTCTTATGTTCTCTCTGCTTTTCTTCGCATATTTGCCAGTTGGTTGGTTTTAATAATAATTTCATTGCAACAAAATAATGTATGTGTGCGTGTGCGCATATGTGTATTAATATTGTGCGTTAATTTTATGGCCAGCTGGGCCGCATTACCAACGTCTGTTGCCCGGAACCGAGAGGAGGCAGGGTATGGGTACAGGAACTGAGCCGTTTAATGGATGCGAGCGTTATTAATGCACATGCGACGGGCATAAGGACAAGGACGAGGACGAAAATGACGTCCTGAACAATGTCCTTCAACATTTTTGCTCCACTTTAAGTTTTTCAATTTGCCGCACACTATCAGAAACGCGTCCGCTTCAGGCCTGCTTTGGCCCACTGAGCAGATGCTGAAGTCCAGGGCGAACCCAAAGCTGGCCCACCGTGCCGACTGTGTCCGGGCTTTAAAGGCAGCCAGCCAAGACCAATAGCCAAGACCCAAGACGAACGCCAATGGCGTACTACCCGACGCACAGCACAGCACTGACAGCTAAATGCGTTGCACTTATGCTTAAAACATGTCAGACACCGTAGACAGCACTCAAACCGACTAACAGACAGTCGGACAAACAGAAGGACGTATGCCGCACTGAAATAGAATCCTTAAGGGGGCATGCGAATGCAGTTGAAAATCGCTGCATAGTTTTTGGCGCACTGACTCCCTATCGGTATTTAATGCTCCTATCACATGCTTGCCAGGAACGATGCCTTCGCCACGCCAAAGATTAGAAGGCTTCTATGGTATTAGATTGCGGTATATGGGGAATAAGTAATTAAGAGTTCGATATACAAAAGCTCGACGATTGGCTATGTGCTGCTTTTCGATTGCACGTTAATGTGGAACACGCTTCGTCTGAATCGTTGGTTTTTGCTGGTTTTGAAGTCGGTTTGTAGACGTCTCTCCCTAGAGTTCCATAGTCTGCAAAGAGCACAAATATTACGTAGGGTCTTTACGTACGTTTCGTATTA